AAGCCAGACGGCTACCTGGACCAGGATGCAAGAGTGTCGGGGTCTCGGGGAGAGTGAGCAAGAGGGAGCTTGTCCTAGTACTAGCGCATTTGCCCAGTTTTTTTTTGTTTTGTTTTGTTTTTTTTAAGGAAAGTATCTGTGGCTGCTGAGTTTTGCGATCATCTGAACGATGTCAGTGTTGATGAGGGATGCTCTGAGCACATCTGGCCGACGCCAACATCTTAAGGGATAGCCAGCACGGGTTTGTTGCGGGTGGGTCTTGCTTGACCAATCTCATTTCCTTCTACGACCAGGTGACCTATCACCTGGACAAGGAAGAAGAGATGTCATATATCTTGACTTCAAAAAAGCCTTCGATCTGGTGTCCCATGATCGCCTCTTGGAGAAACTGGCCAATTGTCGCCTTGGGTCCTCCACGATCCACTGGCTGGAAAATTGGCTCCGGGGTCGGACCCAGAGGGTAGTAATTGATGGAAGTCACTCATCATGGTGTCCTGTGACCAGTGGGGTCCCCCAAGGCTCTGTCCTTGGACCCATACTGTTCAACATCTTCATTAATGATGTGGACACTAGAGTCAGAAGCGGACTGGCTAAGTTCGCCGATGACACCAAACTTTGGGTCAAAGCATCCACACCAGAAGACAGGCGGGGGATCCCGGCTGACCTGGACAGGCTCAGCAAGTGGGCGGGTGAGAATCTGATGGTGTTCAACGCCGATAAATGCAAGGTTCTCCACCTTGGGAAAAAAACCCCGCAGCATCCTTATAGGCTTGGCAGTGCTATGTTGGCTAGCACTATGGAAGAAAGAGACTTGGGGGTCATCATTGACCACAAGATGAACATGAGCCTGCAATGCGATGCGGCGGCTAGGAAAGCGACCAAAACGCTGGCTTGCATCCATAGATGCTTCTCAAGCAAATCCCGGGACGTCCTTCTCCCCCTGTACTCGGCCTTAGTGAGGCCGCAGCTGGAGTACTGCGTCCAGTTTTGGGCTCCACCATTCAAAAAGGATGTGGAGAAGCTTGAGAGAGTCCAGAGAAGAGCCACGCGCATGATCAGAGGTCAGGGAAGCAGACCCTACGATGACAGGCTGAGAGCCCTGGGGCTCTTTAGCCTGGAAAAGCGCAGGCTCGGGGGTGATCTGATGGCCACCTACAAGTTTATCAGGGGTGACCACCAGCATCTGGGGGAACGTTTGTTCACCAGAGCGCCCCAAGGGATGACGAGGTCGAATGGTCATAAACTACTACAAGACTGTTTCAGGCTGGACATAAGGAAGAATTTCTTTACTGTCCGAGCCCCCAAGGCCTGGAACAGCCTGCCACCGGAGGTGGTTCAAGCGCCTACATTGAACACCTTCAAGAGCAAACTGGATGCTTATCTTGCTGGGATCCTATGACCCCAGCTGACTTCCTGCCCCTTGGGCAGGGGGCTGGACTCGATGATCTTCCAAGGTCCCTTCCAGCCCTAATGTCTATGAAATCTAGTGGACTTTGCCCCTCCGAGAGCATATGCCCTACATCTGGATTGCAGTGAAGCTTATGCAAGAGTTTGGTGCCCAGCAGTACCCTCTCCTTACCCTGCATGTGCCTGGAGACCTACTCCAGCGCCTAGTTTATGCACTTCAGCAACTTGAATAAATCCTTTCGGCTGGCTGGCTGAAAAAGAGCGAACCAGATCTCTGCCAGCCCAGGGGCCAACAAATATATTACAGTCTGTTATTTATATAACATCCCAAAGTCTTCTCCAGGCCTGACATACCGACATCCCTGAAACGCCTGAGAGGTGGGGGCGTTCCACCGGAGGAGAAGTGTTGGCATAACTGGGAGAGATGAAACGCTTGGATGTGTGAGACAGAATATCTCAGCCACGTGGAAATTCAGTACTTTTCTCCTTATGCATTGTTCACATGGACTGGATATAACCCAGTCTGGGTTGGCACTAGCTTAAGTGCTGGCCCATGGCAGAAATCGTGAAGTTATGGGGCAGGAATTGTTGGCTAGAAGTTAGGATAACATGTGGACCCAGGACTCTGGGGAGCTGGGATCAGCCTGTGCCCTGCCACGAACTGGAGGTGTGACTTGGGCAAAATGGAGGTAACAGCACTTCCCTGCCCCCATAGAGGTGTTGGGAGGATAAATCTATTTAAAGGCAGTGAGGTCCAGTATTGGACTCCTTTAAGCACCTAAGTGACTGACTGACAAGGCTGTCCCTTGTAAGTAGTTAGAAGAGAGCTCTCTTTGGTGCCAAGAGCCTTGGCATGAAGTCCTGGCCCTGTTGAGATCAGTTGTAAGATGCCCACTGATTTCAGTGCAGCACGGATTTCTTCCCTCCTGGGCTTTTTCTTTCTCCATCTAGCCTTCATTGCAATAACGACGGCCAATGATGTACTGATGGAGACAGTTTATCTGCTGTCCCCTTTGCAGCTCAACTGATGTTTAAAGACTCTAAAAAGCAAAATAATCTTGCTCTACTCTGGTGCTGGCAGCACTGGGAAGCTCCACTGCAGAGGGACCCTTGGCGAGGACGAGGGTGGAACAAGGGAAGCAAAGCCCTGCACAGAGGTGGCATTTGTGGGCACTGAAAATGCGATACAGTCCCAAAGCCATTCTCAGGTCAGAAACCTTCCTTAAACATATAGCAATATTTAAACAAACGTAGTTGGGAACTTGGCTGCATCTTGTGTCTCTGTTTTTCCACGGAGCAGAGTTTACAGGAAATGCTCTTGAACAGCCAACTATTCTCATGCCTGGGCGGGTGTGTAATACATGCAGCACCCAGCGTGCATTGCGGACAGTGCTGTTCTGCCCACATCAAGCAAGGCACGACCTCACAATTTTTGCTCTTGCAGCACTTAGCCTCAGTATTTCCAACCCCCCACCCCATGCAAATGCATAAGCTCTGCAACTCTTGAAGCTTTAGCATCACGGTGGATGGGATTCAGCCCCGGTGGAGGGTGTGCAGAGCTATTCAGAGCAGTAATGACTGACTGAGGCCTGGCAAATAACCTATTTCTGTGCCAGGTCACTGGTAGGATACTCCCGTGAGATGAAACATTTTGCCTTCAGCGCAGGGCCAGCTGTGATCTGCAGTTTACTTTGCATTGCAAGCCTGCCGCACCCCGCAGTGGAAAAGAAGCATTTCTATAGCTGATCCAAAATATTTATGGCTGGAGTCTAAGTTTAGGCAGGGTGATAAATTATATCCTTGTACTGAGTAGAATAATTATGTACGATTTAATGACAAAGGCATGTTAATTTGCACTTTTTTTCTAGTAAATTTGTCAGCAAGGTCATTGAGGGAAGAGGGAGCTAATTCGCACAGGTGGCTGCATGTTCCGAAAAGTGACAATTGAGGTAGTTTTCCAGGAGCAGCCCCTGGCTGGGACTGGCTCGAGTGCCACCTTGGGCTAACATTCCTGTAGTGAGCGTCATGTGTTTGCCTTGTTCTCCGGGACAGTAAATCTGCTAGTACACAAAGGAAGGAGTGAGAGAGCACCGCTCCCATCTCCGAAACTCTTGAGCTGTGCTGATCTCCTTTGCCCAGCTTGTGTGAACTTCACGGATCCGGATGGAAAGCAGGATTTAGGCATCCGTCCCGGCATCAACCCATTGTTAAGTCTGGAGGAATACTATTTACAAAGCTTCACAGTCGAAAAGAAAGCGCTCTTGGAAAGTTTTGCTTCTTGTTCGACCTGTTTGGCTGCTTAATGTGAGGAAAGCTAGGTAAGTCTAGAGCTTGGAACGATCCATGGCTGTTTCTCAGAGTGAAGCTAACCCTTTCCTTGTTTCCCCCTGAGCAGTATATTTTTAATATAGATCTTGCGTTGCTTTGTACTTAGAACTGCATTCCAGTTTTGCCTCTTTTTTGAAGTGATAGCACGGTAGTATTGGAAGCCCCCATCAGGAAACGGTGAGCAGGAAGGTCTGCGCCCTTCTTATATTGCATGTGGGTTTTATTCCATTTCGTGGTCTTTTCACAATCTTTGCAGTAGACCAATGCAGCAGGAACACCAGGCACATATAGCACAAACACAGGTGCTCCTCTTGCCCATTAAACAGAGAGAGACCACACATCATTGCATCTGCAGCTTTCCCTATGCATCCAATCCAGTTATTTTGAAACGATGTTGGCTCAGAATGGAGCATTGCCTTTATATAGCACCACAATTATAACATAATGGCTACAGGAAGGAGTAGCTAAACGTATGGAGAATTGGCAGAAGGCTCCATAGCGAAGCTTCCCGTCTGTTAAAGAATTAAAGGAAGACGTAACCTGTTATTGTTACGGGCCAATTATATTTGATGAAAGTTTTGCAAAATGCGTATAGGGACTTTTGTCCCCACACGACAGAATTTTGGGTATGCCAGAAGCACAAAAGCCAGTGAAATCCACGGGGTCTATTTTTAATGTCATTTTTGTTGAATATGATTCCGTTAGTGATCCCTGATCTCTCTTTTTCTTTCCCTCCTCCTCTTCTGATTTGTCTCGCGCTGTATTCAGGCCCTAACCCTGGGAACGGTCCAGCGTAATGAGTTGAAACTCCTGGGTGTTCCTTTTGAATTCTGCTGACATTAATGAATCTTTCCACCCAGCATCTCAGTCACTTTTATAACAGACCCCATTCATGCCATCCACATCTAAAGTTGGAATCCTGCTCTGCTCGTCAGAGGGATGATGACTGAAGCTGCCACACAGCCCATCATCAGTGTGTGCTTTCTTGTTGGCTGTCTTCCACTCCCCTTGATTTTGGTGGCTTCAGGTTTATGGCTTGTGGTAACCGATATGCTTCGTGTCTAACTCATTCTTGGTTGATCTCCAAAGATTGTGCAGTAGTTGAGCAAGTTTTGCAGCTTGAGATGGAGAGAAGGAAGGACCTGGGGAGCCCAGCTGGAGAATGGGGCTGATATTAAGGATCACCAGTTCTGTTCTCCAACAAGACCAGTTTCACTTCCTGGTTCTCTGTGTCCCAGGACCTCACTTCCTCCTCCTGGTCAGCTAGTGAAAGGCTGACCTGAGTCCACACATGTCCCAGGACAGCCTGCATCCCAGTTCTTCTCATCCAGGTCAGGTTGTAGTGATTCAGTGGGTTCATTAGACCAGTCCTTGAAGACGAAGGATTACATGCCAGTGACAACCTAGAACAGGAGTGAGCAGTTATTTGAGCCCAAGGGCCACTTATGGAGTTTTGGTGAGCTGTCGCAGGCCAGGCCAGAACCCCCCTCCCCTGTTGTGCTGGGTCAGCACCCCCCACCCCACAACAGCTCACCAAAACTCACTAAGGGGCTCTGTCCCAGGGCCCAGCCCTGTGCTGTCACCACCCGGCAATCCCAAGGTCTGCATGGAGCCTGGCCCAGGACTCATGCAGGCAGGGCACGCTCAGGGTGGATGGGTTGGGGCTGTGGGGAGGCGGGAAGCGGTGTCTGGGAGCAGGAAGGGCAGGTGGGGATGGGGCTAGGGCTGGATCACGGAGCAGTAACAGCATGGGGCCAGGGCCTGGGGCAAAGCCATGATCTGCTGCTCACGTGTCCCTGCGATGAGTGGTGATTCCCCAGGCAGTGGCATGTGGGGAGCAGATCACAGCTCTGCCCTGGACCCTGGGTGACGGCTCCACACTGTCACCGTCCTGCGATCCTGCCCCATGATCCCAGCCCTGCCCACCTGTCTCGCTCCCAGATGCTGTTCCCTGCCTGTCTGCAGCCCCATCCCATCTGCCCAACCGAGCGTGCCATGCCCGGGCAGGTTCCAGGCTGCTCTCAATGGAGACCCTTCCTGCCCACTTCGTCGGGCGCCCTTGATGGTGGGTGCAGGGAAGCCAGGCAGTGGGACTGGGTCCAGTGGTGGCAGTAGCTGGAAAGAGCCACTGCCAGGAAGTGAGTCTGGTCGCCTTATCACCCCAGACCTGCTGGCTGCATGCCCGGGGGTGGCTGGACTGACCACACATGCCATGTCCTGGGCTGCCTCCCCGCAATGCACACACCTGGGCTGGGTGAGGCCAAGGGCTGGATGGACTCCCTTGGAAGGGAGGATCCATGGAGGATTGAATGTGGCCCATGGGCCATATTTTGCCCACCCATGACCTAGAAGGTGGCAGCACTAGTAAAATAGTGCAGTGTGTGAACTAAATGGATCCTCATTTGCTGATTCCCTTAGTGTTTGCTTTAATGGTGTTTGCAGTCTCTCCTGACTCATTATTTTTAGCACACAGTTGTGCAGGGCACAGGTCACCTCGTTGATACCTGAGGCTTAGAAACCACCCCCAGCACATTCCTTCTTTGAAACCGCACCCCGTGCTAGTAAGTCTCCTTCTTCCTGCAAGATCCCTACTAAAACTAACCTTTCTAAACAACATGCAGGGTTTTTTTCCTTTTGTTCCTCAACCATCAAATGCTAAGCTCGAGTAGCTGGGCTGAGTTTGAAGGAGCAGCGTAGGAGTAGGCCAATAATCCCCAAGAGTGGGTTTCCACAACAGGGAAGACATTTAGGGTCTCCACACAGCAGGTATTGAGTTATGCCCCAGACAAGAGGGGAAGAAGGAGACATGGCCTACTATGAGATGCAGGACTAAAGACTTTCATTCTCAGCAGAGTGGGTTTAATGGCATCTCTGGTACCACTGTACCTCAGGGATCAAGATAGCCCATACTCTCCAACTGGCTTGTGCCTTAAGGGCAGGATTTACAAACTCCCTGCCTTGGGTTGTAGCAACAGGAATCTCACTTGCAAATCAGGGGAAGTGATTTTTCCATTCTAGTCAGTACTAGTGAGGCTTCATCCGGAGGACTGTGTCCAGTTTTGGGCCCCCCACTTCTAGAAGGATTTGGACAGTTTGGAAAGAATCCAGCGCACGGCAGCAAAAACGATTAGGGACCTGGGAGGAAAGGCTGAAAGAACTAGAGTCATTTAGTCCGGAGAAGAGAAGATTAAAGGTGGATTTAATCACAGTCTTCCAATACCTGAAGACCAATTATAGAGAGAATAGAGTTGGGCTTTCCTCTGTGACCGTAGAGGACAGGACTAGGAGAAATGGCCTCAAGTTTCAGCAGGGGAAATTTAGGTTGGAGATGAAGAGGTTGCTGACTGTGGGGGTGGTCAAGTCTTGGAACAGCCTGCCGAGAGAAGTTGTGCAATGTCCATCTTGGGAAGTTTTCAAGAGCAGGTTAGACAGGGACTTGCATGGCGTGGCCCTGCCTTGAGCAGGGGGCTGGACTGGTTGACCTCCTGCGATCCCTTCCACCCTTTCCTATGATACTTTGGTCTATCCAAGGCCATCCCTAAGGCATTGCGAATCGGGGCAACCGCCCCAGGCCCCGCACTTTGACATCACGGCAAGGAAAGCCTGACCCGGAGCCCCTGCAAGGCTTCCGGACACTGGGCACTGCAGCTCGGCTCAAGGCCCCCCACCACAAGAGCGTCCCCAACCCAGCGTGGTCCTAACCTCGGCTGCCCTGTGCTGCAGGCAGCCCCCCATGGTGGCCTGTGCCTGCGGAGCGCCCTCAGCACCAGGGCCAGAGCTGCCACCCGCATCCTGCTCTGCAGCCCGTGCTGCCCAGCTCTCCCGGCCCCGCAACCAGTGAGTGATGACTCTCTCCCTTAAAAAATGTTAAAGGGGACCCATATAGGCTGATTTTTCCCTGGGTCCTGTGCCCTCCTCGGGTTGGCCCTGGGTCTGTCTGCCAAAAATTTTATCTGGAGGTTTGCCCCCTTCCTTCTCTGCTAGCAAATTGCAAACTGACACTAGTCCTCACTGACCTAGTACATGCAAGTGTCTAATAGGAATGTCACCAGGATGATTATGGGTACAATGAGGTGCCTTTGAGCTCGCAGGGCCTGTGGTATGTTGCTGATGTTGAAAACACCATGCATGTAGCACAGTCTCTATGGGAGCAAAGGCCACTGAGTCCAGCTTTGTGTGGTCACGGGGAGCTGTATGAGACATTCCTGTTTATTAAGTGCTCTAGCTACAACTTAGAAGTAGTTAGGATTTTTTGTTGTGGCTGATGAGCTATCAGAGCCTTCTCAAAGGAGCTTCTCTTGCAGGAGCAGAAGAGATCTTGGGTAGAGGTCCATGCCCCACTGCTACAGGAGAAGGCAAAACCATCCCAGTCCATACCACTCTGACCACAGGGTAAAACTCCTTCCTGACCCCAAGTGAAGCAGTCAGTCTGATCCTGAGCAGAGAGGCAAGACTCTCTAGCTAGGAAACTCTAGCTTTAGTTCCAGCAAGAGCACTGGCACCCCCAGTCAAAGTGCCCAGCCTTGGCTTTAGCCAACACCCAATGCCTCTGGGAAGGCTTATAAACACCCTGGCACACCTCTCTGTTTTTCTAAGGCATTGCCCATATCACCAGTTGCACCAGATGAGAACCAGCCATTGCCTTTTAAAGCTGATTTCTGGGCCATGCTTACCTAGGACCCCCCTGTCCTGTATGCTGTCCTAGGTCTGCTGGGATGGTCTACAGCTGTCTGGGCCTTCCCAGTGGACAGCTACACACCTTTCCACACAGGAACCTACAGCATCCAGACGACAGCTGCAAACACAGCAAACAGCAGCGTCTGGCCAAAATCCATCTCAAGGCAGCTGAAACAACTGAGAAGTTGGCACAAGGCCTTTCACCCAGGGTTGGTTGGAACACAACAAGACAGGTGCACAAGGCAGGGCAAGCTTTTGTGCTCGTTTTTGGAACCAAGATGGGAATGCTGGGAAATTTTTCAAACCAAACCCC